AGGGTCTTAATGAAAGTCTGTAACATAGTTTGGTTAAAAATGTTCAATGGTAGTGTAAAAAAGTAGTTTTGTAGCATTTCCCTTTAAATGTTAATGAGCCCTGCTGGCCCCGCCCCTCTCTTCCGAGCTGCTCTCAGAGAGACGGTTTACTTTAGCTGCATTCATCGTGAAACTTGCTAATTAGCACGTTATTAGGAAATGTGATTTGCAAAGATTCATTGCAAAACATACTCACTTCTTCTGTAGATGAGGCTGGATCACGAATGATTCGCTCGCGTGAACATAGATGCATTCCCTTCAGAAACAAACGTAATCCACTGCGTCTTCAGCGGCTCAGATGTCGGGAGTAAATGACGACTGCTATGTTCATTATTACATCCAACAACAGAACACCTCAATCGCTTGTTAGGAGTCATTCTTGTCTACATCTGCTCCGGCGGTGAAACAATGGCGGACTGATGACAGTCACTCAGGGCGGAGCTAAGGTAAGACACCAGTCCAGTCTGTGCTGAAACGCTACTGTCAATCAAACTATCGTGGGAGGGGCCTGTTTTTGTGACGTCACACAGACAGGCATCTGAGATCGGCTCGATTTGAGAAAAGGGAAAACATTTAACCAGATTTTTCAAAAAACACTGGGTGGATTTTTATCATTACAGGGTGGTTGTGTACACACACTGCCAACACACATTTCAGTTCAAACAACTTGTAAAAGTGCATGTAGCATCCTATGACCCCTTTAACACTACTAGATTATGTAAGTTTCCTTTTACACAGAATTACCATTGTAACCTTATTTTTTGCCAGAATGAAAGGAAAATGGCAGGTCAAAGTCTGACGAGTAGGCAAATATCCTTAACGCCTAAATACTACTCAAATGTTAAACAAATAGATCCAAAATGTCTCGTATGTCCTCCTGCAGCTTTTAAAAGTATGGTTTCCTTGAGTAGAGAACTGAGAATCCAGAGCGTACTTCCAAACATCTTCTATTTTCAATAAGGCTGAGAAATCAAAACAAAACTAGAAATGTTTCTTTTGAATTTGTTCCCATATCAGCTTAAGTCAGATCATTAAGTAATTTAATAAAATAATGTGGCTGAAAAACAGACCAAAGTAACACATATGCAGATTTTTTGCCTTTCATTCCTTTAAAAGGAACTGAAGAAAGCACGATATTAATTCCGACTAGTTATTTTAATCTGCTAATTTTCAGTTTTATAGCTTTAATCACAAAAAATCTAATTCTTTCCAAGCGCCCGCCAGGGTTCATGTACCTCTGGCCGTGAATCACTTTCCATGAATGTATTTCCTGCTGCGATCAAAGCATTGTTGGGAGGTTAGAGTGTTGTAGTTCTCCTGCATTGTTCTAACAGTTTAAATCGAGCACAGCATGTGTCAGTCTATGTGTATAACACAATCTCACGGCAATTTGTGAGTATTTTACGATTTGGCGAATCGGTGGCTTGTGTGTGTCAGCGTGTGAATGAAATCTTTCAGTATTCCCCAGCTGCCCTGTGACACAAACAGAGTGCATGTGAGGGTGAAAGAGGCTTACTGTGGTGGCACATGACTCTTCCCATAGTCCACCTGCTTCACATGTCTAAAAATACAGCACAAAAATCTCTAATCAAAACTACTGAAGAAAATCCAGCCACATGACACCGGGAAACTAATGCACAACTAATGACAACACCATTAATTAACAAGTAACAATGAGCTCTTTGCATACCGCTGCTGCTTAGAATTCAATTAAATGCAAGCAAAGAGATCTCATCACATGCAAATGTCAGCGTTACACAACCCGGATACAGCTGGACTCAGCACTTTGGAGCTGAGCTGATTTACTGCTATTATTTTGGCATGGATAAAAAACAACCTGTTCCATTACCTAGCTCTTTAATCTCCTCCTAGGTGACCAGCGGCTCCAGAGACCGTAGTTCGAGGAAACCTGGCAACCCCGTTCACCGCCACACACTAAACACTCACATGCTCTTGCTGGGAACTATTAGAATTCTTGTTGACTTCAACATTGTCTTAATGGCTCACAACACTGTCTTAATGCTCAAGTCATTCAAAGTGCCTCATATGGGGATAATAAAGAGGAATGAAGACAAAAATGTTGAGTTTAAAATCATATACAAAACTGAATAAAAAAAATTCAGTATAATAAAATGCAAACAAATACATTCATGTTTGCTATGCAAATGTTCTTTTTCAAATAACTATATCTCATTTAAGGTTTTTTATACTGTGCTTCAGAATGCAATTAATTTATGTAATATTCTTTAAAAAAAACTGCCCTCCTGTTAGGATGACTAAGCAGTGACCTTGAAATTTAGGAAATTGTAGGTTGTTCTCTAATTTTGATCTCCACTGTATAATCAAAGTGTATTCTGACTGGTCAACAAGGTTTTGTAGATACTACAATAATAAATTGTATCTAAAAAGGCAATGCATGTCATTTTAAGTTGGTTGATATATCAATACTCTGTGGTATTGAAAAGTTTAACTTTTTGGAAGGTGTGTGTCCCATTACATCTGGCGTGATGAAATATAAAATTATGAGCTATATTTTATATAATCATAATGACCATTCAATAAGTATTTTAACAGTGCAACTTAGTATTTAAAAGGCAATGCATGTCATTTTAAGTTGGTTTATATATTAATATTACATGACAATGTATTCTGACCATTCTAGAAGTATAACTAAATTCTCGCAGTGATAGATTAAAAAAATATTGTTTTCTAAAGCATGTAACACATTTGTGACCTGGAGCACAAAACCAGTCTTAAGTCGCTTGGGTATATTTGTAGCAATAGCCAAAGAAAAACGTATGGGTCAAAATTATCGATTTTTAGTAAAGATCATGTTCCATGAAGATATTTTGTAAATGTCCTACCGTAAATATATCAAAACTTAATTTTTGATTAGTAACATGCATTGCTAAGAACTTCATTTGGACAACTTTAAAGGTGATTTTCTCAGTATTTAGATTTTTTTGCACCCTCAGATTCCAGATTTTCAAATAGTCGTATCTCGACCAAATACTATTGTCCTATCCTAACAAACCATTCATCAATGGAAAGCTTATTTATTCAGCTTTCAGATGATCTATAAATCAATTTTTTTTTTAAAAATGACCCTTATGACTGGTTTTGTGGTCCAGGTTCACATTTGTGCATTGACAGATTGAATATTGTCACATGTATGTGGCATGTACATCTACATGGACAGCATGTATGTGGGAAAAATAATAGAAATGAAGCAGCGAGAGGCTGCCATCCCGTAGTGTAACGACCACAGCTCTCACCCTTTGAGTGATCAGCACAGTGTGGACACATGGACAGGCCATCTGTCTGCAGACAATCTCACACATGCATATGGCATGAATTTGAGTGACCAAACTCTTTATTATTATACAAGAGCAGAAATGTACTGTTCAAATGCCACAAAAATAGATATCCGAGACCTTGGATTGTGATCATGTAATCATAAGATTTTATTAAAGCAGATAAGAAAAGGAGAGACAAGGACATGTGAGGGTATCATGGCACACAAGCTTTATGGAAAAACACTACTGAGGTTCACAATCCTTTGGCTCTGCTGTGATTGGCAGACACGATTAGCTCAGCATTGTTGCCATACAATCAGTCTTTGGACATATATGTGACCCTGGAGCACAAAACCAGTCTTAAGTCGCTTGGGTATATTTTTAGCAATAGCCAAAAAAAACAAAAAAACATTGTATGGGTCAAAATTATCGATTTTTTTATGCCAAAAATCATTAGGATATTAAGTAAAGATCGTGTTCCATGAAGATATTTTGTAAATTTCCTACCGTAAATATATCAAAACTTAATTTTTGATTAGCAATATGCATTGCTAAGAACTTCATTTGAACAACTTTAAAGGCGATTTTCTCAGCATTTAGATTTTTTTTTTGCACCCTCAGATTCCAGATTTTCAAATAGTTGTATCTCGGCCAAATATTGTCCTAACAAACCATACATCAATGGAAAGCTTATTTATTCAGCTTTCAGATGATGTATAAATCTCAATTTTGAAAAATTGACCCTTATGACTGTGGTCCAGGGTCACATATGCCCTTTGCACCCCACCCATTTTTCTTTCTTTTCTTTTTTCTCTTTCTCTGTTGATCCCAAAGTTGTTAGTCTAGGTAGATTATCCCAGCTCAAGGCCACTGTCCACTTCATGTGACCTCACTTTAGCACTATCTGGAGAGTTTGCTTTAGCACACAGACTGAATCTTAAAAAAACACACTGGAAAAAAATGTATTGTGTCAGTCATCGAGGTCTTATGATGGAATGGCATGTGTGAATGATGCTTTGCTTTCCTGTATAGTGACGCAAGCAACAGTCCCATATTTCACAATGTGCATGCGCAACATCAAAACGCGAACAATGTTTATGGTGTGTTCAAGTCATGTCGGATAGATCGTATTTACGAGTTGAACGCACATGAACGCCACCACAAAGTCGTTATTATGAGTGGGGAAACTCGAAATTTTCTTTAAGCCCCGAGTTTCCGAGTTGGGGGCGTGTCAATGAGAAACATGGCGGAATCGATGGATGCAACGTCTGTAGTTGACGGTAAATGTTTGTTTAAATTGATAGTTTAGTTGTCCTATAAACTTAAATTGGTCATGTTCTTGTTACGCAGCTAGTTAATGAAATCCAAGTAAAAAAATGCTATCATTTTTGCACCTATAGGTGAAAAATATTTTGATTTGCCATGATGCATTTAGCTAACAGCTTTTTTTAATCTCTGTATTTTAGCGTTTGTTGATGCTGAAAATCAGTTATACTGGGATCCTGGTCTAAAAAAAAATATTAAAAACGCAAAACACACCTGATGCAGAGTTAACAGACCCTGTTGTATTCAGTGTTGGGAAAAGTTACTTTTAAAAGTAATGCATTACAATATTGCGTTACTTCCTAAAAAAAAGTAACCAATTACGTTACTTAGTTACTTTATATTGAAAGTAATGCGTTACGTTACTTTTGCGTTACTTTCGCGTTACTTTTTAAATATGAACAGGGCTTGATTGTTTTTAATATAAGAAGTTCTATTTATAGCAAATATAAAAGCCCTTTCACACCAAAAAGTGTAATGAATAAACCTCAGGCTGAAGCAAAAGTAAATTCACTCCTGTACAGTAGAACGCAGGAGAAGAATCACTCTTCAGCAATAAAAAATCGATGAAGCACAAAAAGTAATCTGATTACGTAACTCGCGTTACTTGTAATGAGTTACCCCCAACACTGGTGATTACTGTTACTTTTCTCAGAGCTGCTAACCATAGCTACCACAGTCGTTTGTGATTTACTGAATGAGGTTTTTCTTAAGATACATTAAGCGTGACCACAAGGAGGCCCAGTGGCGCGACGCTGAGCGATGCGAAGTGAGCGTGTGCTTGTCTCTTTAAGAAACCCTCCTGTTGCATGAGAGCCTGGTGTTTTTCCACTCTCTCCGTTATTACACGCGCTCGCATATAAGACACAAGTCGGGGGGAGAGAGCGTAAAGATTATTTCCCTCGCTTTGTAGACTCACATCAAGAAGACAAAAGAACAAGAGAAGGACTTGAGCTATAAATTGCATTGTCAGGTGAGTGACACCTTACAGGTCAGCGGAGGCTGAACTGTATCTTTAAGCGCATCTTTATGTAGCCTACATTTTATTAACGTTTTAAGTACTCGTTTATTTTTGTCTAAGGCGGATGGTCATTTTAAAAATTAAAATATATATTAAATTAAATTTGAGTCTTTGGGAAGCGCGCCTTTATGCCTTTATTTTATTTTTGAATAAACGAATTTAATTTTGTCCAGAACGATACATGGACTCTGCTTTGAATTGGAAAAAGACTTTCAAATATTTTTGCCATTCAACAGTTCTAATTGTAATTTAGTACAAAGACGCAGTTCCTAAAACTCAAGGCTTCTGGCATTGTATTGAAAGCTATGCGTCTTAGTTGCTGTGCACAAATGTTCTTTTTGCCTAAGTGCTCTCACAGGCTTTTGAAAGCTTAATGTCATTAAATATTAAATGCAATCAATTTATTGTAGATGCACTGTAATTGAAGATGAATTGTAAGTACTGGTTAACAGTGTACCAGTCTAATATAGCCAGCAAAAGGCTTGTGACAGCACCCAGGACCACCACAGAGCATCGTTCTCATTGCGCGTGCTTTAACAGCTCAATAAAAATGTAGGTTAATGTGAATTTATTCTGCTCTGCTCGTGCATGTAAACACTGACACCGCTAGAGACAGATCTGTCTCAAACCTGTCATGTGGGTTCATGTAACACGCGCACAGACACAATGTAGGTTATTGGGGCACAGCCAAGATTTGAACTTCTTGTGTCCATTGGTCTAGTGTGGCAAACGCAAACCGCTCGGTGATAGATATGCATTGGAGATATGTAATTGGCTCACAAATGAATGAGGGTTTGAGACGTGTCCGCACGCGAAGCCTTTTATTGTGGCTCGTGCTATGTCTGTGTTTGTGGTGCGAACTTGCAATATCCTAAAAACTTGTTTAGGGGTTTTATCATTTACTCCGCAGCTCGGGTTTCCAAAATGAAACACGCATAGAAAATGTAATTTAATCAGGAGCGCGCGCCGGAGAATTAGGGCGCCTGGCGACGCGCGAGCGAAATATTCTTCAGGTTTAATTTTGAGAGCAGACAGATTTCGTTTTATAATGCATGACATGAGATGGCCTTGTAGAAACAGTACTTTGCACTTTCTCCTCAATACCACAATACCTCAATATCTCCTCCAAAAGTACTGGGGTAGCTGGGGTTAGGGGTTTAACCCATACACTCTAAAAATGCTGGGTTAAATACAACCCAGTGCTGGGTAAAACAGGGACAAACCCAGCAATTGGGTTGTTTTGACCCAGCGGTTGGGTTACCCAGAAGGTTGGGTTAAACATTTAGCCCAACCGCTGGGTCAAAACAGCCCAAGTGCTGGGTTTGTCCCTGTTTTACCCAGCACTGGGTTGTATTTAACCCAGCATTTTTTTAGAGTGTACGCTTGATTCACAGCTATTACATTTCTAAGAACTTTTTGCTAATGTTTTCATGTGCAATTTGCTTTAAGAGTTTTCCTTTATTGGCTTTTAAGTATAATTGGAACATACGAGCATATTTGTATCCCTTTTCCATATTCATGTACTTTAAAAAATACCATGGTATTACAGCAATATGTAGTAAAATGGGACCAAAAATGCTGTAATATCATTGCATTGTTTTTTAATCCCTAACCTTGTGACCCCTACAAAGTTGGCATAGTTTTTCCACTCTATACTTTTAAAGATGAATTATTGTTTGGATAGCCAGACATTAGCGTAACATCTTCCATTATAGATGATGGCGTTAGATTAAATGTTGTCATTTCAGTTTATAATATCCCATTTGCTTCACGTGTTTTCCTTTGTTGGCTTTTAAGTATAATTGGAGCATTAGACCATCTTTTTATCTCCATTCCACATGCTCTATGTATTTGAATACATCCAATTTGTGTTTCAGAGTTGATAGTTGGAGTGTAATTTATAACCTTCACAGCTGAATATCCAGACAAGGATAAAGGCACAATATGTAAGATTTTTTAATTAAAATATCCAAAAACCACTAGAACAGTGTTATATATTTTGTAGAAAACATGGAAACACCAAAAACGCTTTAATATGTTGGTTTCTTAACATTTTCAACATTCTACTAACTTTATTTTCACCCGTAATATAGCATCATTTGAATGTTTATTTTTAAGAACATTAAAATGTCCAGTTTTCGTGTCGTAATTAGAACCATATCTAAAAGTTACAAAAATGTTTCTTAGAACATTCAAGTACAAATAACATCATAAGGATATTCCGAGAATGTTGATCTCAGAACGTTTTCTCTCAAAGTTATGAGAACGTATATCAAATATTAATAAATTTATAATAATGTTCCATAAACATTACTTTAAGAACGTTTTGAAAACATTTATATAACTTAAAGTTGTGAGAATGTTCCGTTAGCTGGGGAATAATTAGTATTTCTAAGTCACAGATCAAATTTAAGTAAATTGGATCTCAATATGTGATCATAAGGATCATCTCAAATCATGCTGGAGAACACGATCAGCAGGTTTTGTTCATGTAGTGTAAAGAAGAGAGACAAAGAAAATACCAAGAAGTTCTCAAATTCATGCATTTTCAGCTCAACTTTGCATTCGAGTTGCTGTGGTGACAATGCAATTTGTAATGAAAATAATTAAAAGAGAGAAATGCAAAACAGAAACATTTGAGGATGTACAGGAGCAATACAACCTGTCGTGTCTGTCCAGGTTTCATCAGAAGGCTAGAAAAGAGGATGTTAAAGGTGGGGTAAGCAATTTTTCAAAAACGCTTTAGAAAACAGATTCGGGCCGAATAGCAAAACAAACTTGTAGCCAATCAGCAGTAAGGGGCGTGTCTACTCATGATGTGGAGGAGATAGCGTTCAGTGCACAGGACAGACATTAGCCGAGCCGAGCGACAGAAAGATAGAGATGGCGGATAAAAAACAAAAGAGGAAAACGTCTGCGGAATAAAAGAAGGCTTAAGGCAAGAAGTAGGACCCGTGTAAATATCGAATCAGCTTTCCAGCGCTGGAGAGAACTCAAGGAGCGGAAGGCCTGCGATCGGACGCCGAGGTTGCTTTGTTTCTTCTCGTGAGTAACACCGTGTCTGCGCCGCAACAGCTGAAGTCTGTCTAGTACACTGGATGTGACAAAGCGACTGTTGAAAATCATTTGAAATTTGTGTCAATACGTCATGAATAGAACGCAGCAGCAGTTTTCTGTCGGGGATTTGTCGTGTCGTGCCGCGCCGCATCCAGTGTAGACCATATAGATATGTATATATATCTATGGTGTAGACAGCATCACTGATTATAATGAGTTCTATAGTATTTTGTTGTGCCGCGCCACTTGCGTCTATGTACTATGTAGACATAGTGTAACATTGGTTTTGCTTTGTTTCACAGAACTAATCGTTGCCTGGGTTGATGTGGTGGGGGTTGATGTTGGTGTGGGGCGGAGCTATCAAAATAGGGACGAGACCCTTTTGGGGTAGGGGCGTGTTTGTTTTGGTGATTTCAAATGTCAACATTGACTACCAGAAATTGCTTACCCCACCTTTAATAAGTCATGTGCTGACTTCCTGCTGATAAAAATATAGACACAAAAATGGTATCAAACCCCCCAAACACAGAGAAAAGAGCTCTGGCCAACTAGGACACATGTAATGAAGTGAGCTGGTTTATCAGCGTCAGTGCTTGAGCTGTCAGTGTGAGTTTCAAACAGGATATCAGACTGTTTCTCAGCTTTGTGCTCAGCCTGAATCTCCTTTCTGTCTGTATCATTCACACTTTACATAGTTGTGTACATGTTAGATTTTGAGGCTTCTGTATTATTCAAATGATTCCTAGGAATATTTTGCATGAGTTGCATGAGCTTGAGATTTGCTGATTTTTTTAAGTCTTGCTTCTAGATCTGTCTTATATAACGGCTTATTATAATCTCAGTGGATGTGATTTTATAGCTCAGATTTTCTGTTTCGTATCCTCGTGGGTCTTCATGGCGGTTTTACAGCTCAGTCACACATATAAGTTTTGCATGAGTTGCATGAGCTTGAGATTTGCTGATTTTTTTAAGTCTTGCTTCTAGATCTGTCTTATATAATGGCTTATTATAATCTCAGTGGATGTGATTTTATAGCTCAGATTTTCTGTTTGGATCCTCGTGGGTCTTCATGGCGGTTTTACAGCTCAGTCACACATATAAATAGACATCTATAATACACCACTGTTCAGATGTTTGGGGTCTGTTTTTAAAAGAAGTCACATGGCTGCATTTATTTGATGAAAAATACAGTAAAAACAGTAATATTTTGAAATATTATTACAATTTAAAATAACTGTTTTCTATGTTAATATATGTTCAAATGTAATTTATTTCTGTGATGCAAAGATGAATTTTCAGCATCATTACTCCATTCTTCAGTGTCACATGATCCTTCAGAAATCATTCTAATATCTAAGAAACATTTCTTCTTATTATTAATGTTATTAATTATTAATTTATTATTATTAAACAGTTGTGCTGCTTAATTTTTTTTTCAGAATTCTTTGCTGACTATAAAGTTACAAAAACTGCATTAATGAAATAGAAATATTTTGCAACATTATAAATGTCTTTGCTTTCACTTTATTAATTTAATGCATCTTTGCTGAACAATTTGATCGGTAGTGTATATCATTCTCAACCCCTTCTCCTCTCTCGTTCTCAGTATGGCACAGAAGGAAAAGTTGCAGTGTCTCAAAGATTTCCATAAGGACACGCTGAAGCCGTCTCCCGGTAAGAGTCCCGGCACACGTCCCGAAGACGAGGCGGAGGGCAAAGCACCACAGCGGGAGAAATGGGCCAGCAAGCTGGATTTCGTGCTCTCTGTGGCTGGAGGTTTTGTCGGGTTAGGCAACGTTTGGCGTTTCCCGTACCTCTGCTACAAGAATGGCGGAGGTGAGTGTGTTTACATGTGTAATATGACAATAAAATATGTTTTAGGTAACACTCTTCAATCTTTGTGTGCTGTAAATAGCTGCTAATGTCACATGCAAACATAATCTTGTGACATTAAAGGGATAGTTTACCCAAAAATAAAAATTCTGTCATCATTTACCCACCCTCAAGTTGTTCCAAAACTGTAAGAGTTTCTTTCTTCTCTTGAAGACAAAAGACAATATTTTGAAGAATGTTGGTAACCAAACAGTTGATGGTCGCCATTGAATTCCATAGTATAAAAAAAATACCATGGAAGTCAATAGTTTCCTGCAACTGTTTGTTTATCAACAGAATTATTTATTTTTAGGTGAACTATCCCTTTAAAACCTTTGAGCTCATTGCAAATCGCGATTTCGATTTTAATCACGATTTTGACACACAGACATGCTTTAAAAAATAAAAATTCTGTCATCATTTACCCACCCTCAAGTTGTTCCAAAACTGTAAGAGTTTCTTTCTTCTCTTGAAGACAAAAGACAATATTTTGAAGAATGTTGGTAACCAAACAGTTGATGGTCGCCATTGAATTCCATAGTATAAAAAAAATACCATGGAAGTCAATAGTTTCCTGCAACTGTTTGTTTATCAACAGAATTTTTATTTTTAGGTGAACTATCCCTTTAAAACCTTTGAGCTCATTGCAAATCGCGATTTCGATTTTAATCACGATTTTGACACAGACATGCTTTACAGTCATTAATGCATTCAGTGTGAATTTGAAAAATAAAACCAATTAGAGCTTTATCAAAAAGCTGTAACATGTCTCTAGAACAGACATAAGGCAAAATAATCACTAAGTAAAGGTGTAACAAAATGTCTCTAGAATAGACATTTATGGCAGAAAAGAAAAAAAAATCCCGTGTCCAGGGATTTTTTTTGCCATGCATTGGTCATAGAGCTCTTTGTGGCGTTGCTTCAGATGTTGAACTAGATTTGTTGCCCCAAGTTCAAACGTACTCCATCTGCAGTGCGTATACAGTATGTGTATGCGGTGCAGAAGCACCACGGACTCATTTTGCTTTCGCACAGGTTTGCAGTGCGCTCCGGACACAATAATTTATCCATTATTTTGATTTCAAATCCAAATGTTGTTTCTGAAAATGCTTTTTCAGCATTGTGATTCTCTTTTATCACAGTACAGTAATACAATCTTTCATAGACATATTCAC